GGGGAGTTATGGATAGGCTTATATAGAGTCATAGGAGTTATAAGGAGAGATATGATGTAATAGGAGTTATAGCGAGAGTTATATAAAGCAATAAGGGAAGTTAAGGATAGGGTTATATAGAGTAATAGGAAGAGTTATAAGGAGAGATATGGTGTAATAGAAGGCGTTATAGCGAGAATTATATAAAGCAATAAGGGGAGTTATGGATAGGGTTATATAGAGTATTAGGAGGAGAGATATGATGTAATAGGAGTTATAGCGAGAGTTATATAAAACAATAAGGGGAGTTATGGATAGGGTTATATAGAGTAATAGGAGAAGTTATAAGGAGAGATATGATGTAATAGGAGTTATAGCGAGAGTTATATAAAGCAATAAGGGGAGATATGGATAGGACTATATAGAGTAATAGGAGGAGTTATATATTAAATGGAACAATAGATGCTATATGGAGAAGCTTTAGGATTTGTAGCATAGCATTGTATTAAATAGTATAAAGAGTTCAATGGAACAATATATGTAATAGGAAAGGTATAAATGAAAGGTATTGGTTTCTGTTGGAAGCTGCTATATTACGTATTAGAAGGAGTGACTGTAAGTGTAATTAGAATGCATTAAATTGTGCCTCCGGAAGAATTTTAGGAAGCAATTAAATTAATCACAGCAACATATTGTGTAGAGCTAGAAGTTGACTTGGTCATTATAAAAAAACAAAACAAAAAAAACCCTATATCTGCAGTTGACAATATGCTATCCTAAATATAAATAGAAATATTGCAATACAACACATTAAATCTCTGCCATTTTCCAGTGCAAAGCGTTTTGTGCTAGTCTTCAAAGGGTTATGTAGTTGTATGACTTTGCCACTGAAGGGTTAAACCCCAGACTCCCTCTGACAAGTCTGCACATTAATTAGCCATTCGGAATGACTCTCTAAGCTAATTATTCCCTTTTCTTCCCGGGCATCCCAGCCAATTCCTGGCATTTACTATGACAGTGAAAGCGGGTAACATTTTGAGAGCTGACACCTCTAAAGATAAATGATTCTGTTTGGATCTTAAACAAACTACGTTTATGTCACATCACAGATTCTACTGATTTAACTTACAGAGAATATAAAGAATTAAACGTTTAAATCATTTTCATGCTTTTTTTTATTTTATTTTTTACTCAATGACTCGTGATGTTTTTTTTTTCTCCTCTTCTTTATTTTTTTCTACCTGTCATTACTTGGCACGGTAAACATTTTACTCTTGAATCTTAATTAAGACTTCTGTGGGAAGCATCACTAAGCGGGTATGACAGAACTCTGAGACCTGGACCTCAAGAAATGTTGCTGCTGGCTCTCAACTTTTTTGACTTATTCACGGCAAAAAAAACCCCAAACTCTGGCAGTGTGTAATTTCTCAACACTTTGTCACGTATTCATCCGCTTATAAAAATGTGGTTAATGGCATTTACTGTCCACACAGGAAAAGTTGTGCCGAGCAGCAACCAAATCCACAGAAGGGTAAATGCTGAGCAGCAATTATGCAAATGGGACCTGGTAGCTGCCTTTGGGGTCAAAGGCCGGTTGCAGCCTATCAGATCTAGAGGAGGGGTATTTAGGCCCAGTTCTCATCCTGTTCAGGGATTCTGCGGACCTGTCGTGGTTTCCCTTGTGGTTGTCCGAGAGCGCGTTCCTGATTCTAGTTTCTTCTGGTTTTTGACTTTGGCTTTGATTTTGACTTCCCTGTATTCTGGTATCTCTGACTTCTGTCTTTCTCTTATCGTTGTGTCTCTTTCTGTATCCCCTTACCTTGGCAAGTATCCTGACTATTCTTTGGTACGTTAAGTCCGGCCATTCTAAGGCCGGGTAATACGTTACCTATTAGTCATCTGTGTGACACAATTCTATGTGCTGGATCCACTAGTAATCCTGACACACTTCAAATGGTACTTGAAAAAAAAAATACTTATGTAATAATAGTTTGGAATATATAGTGTCCATATAAAACATAACATACAGTGAGGGGAAAAGGAATTTGATCCCCTGCTGATTTTGAACGGTTGCCCACTGACAAAGAAATGATCAGTCTATAATTTTAATGGTAGGTGTATTTTAACAGTGAGAGACAGAATAACAAAAACAAATCCAGAAAAACGCATGTCAAAATAGTTATACATTGATTTGCATGTCAATGAGTGAAGTAAGTATTTGACCCCTTTGACTTAGTACTTGGTGACAAAATCCTTGTTGGCATTCACAGAGATCTTGTAGTTTACCACCAGGTTTGCACATATCTCAGGAGGGAGTCATTAAGGTTTTGAGGACCTTCAGCTCCCTCCACAGATTTTCTATGGGATTAAGGTCTGGAGACTGGCTAGGCCACTCCAGGACCTTAATGTGCTTCATCTTGAGCCACTCCTTTATTGCCTTGGCTGTGTGTTTTGGTTAATTGTCATGAGTGTATACACATCCACGACCCATTTTCAATGCCCTGGCTGGGGGAAGGAGGTTCTCACCCAAGATTTGACTGCACATGGCCCCGTCCATCATCCCTTTGATGCGGTGCAGTTGTCCTGTCCCCTTAGCTGAAAAACACCCCCAAAGCATAATATTTCCACCTTCATGTTTGACGGTGGGGATGATGTTTTTGGGGCCATAGGCAGCATTCCTCCTCCTCCAAACACGTAGAGTTGAGTTGATGCCAAAGAGCTTGATTTTGGTCTAATCTGACCACAATACTTTCACCCAGTTCTCCTCTGAATCAGTCAGATGGTCATTGGCAAACGTCAGATGGCCTGTACATGTGCTTTCTTGAGCAGGGAGACCTTGCGGGCACTGCAGGATTTCAGTCCTTCACGGCTTAGTGTGTTACTAATTGTTTTCTTGGTGACTATGGTCCCACCTGCCTTGAGATCATTAACAAGATCCTCCCGTGTAGTTCTGGGCTGATTCTTCACCGTCTCATGATCATTGAAACTCCATGAGGTAAGATCTTGCATGGAGCACCAGACTGAGAGAGACTGACAGTTATTTTGTGTTTCTTCCATTTGCGAATAATCACACCAACTGTTGTCACCTTCTCATCAAGCTGCTTGGCGATGGTCTTGTAGCCCATTCCAGCCATGTGTAGGTCTACAATCTTGTCCCTGACATCCTTGGACAGCTCTTTGGTCTTGGCCATGGTAGAGAGTTTGGAATCTGATTGATTGCTTCTGTGGACAGGTGTCTTTTATACAGATAACGAGCTGAGATTAGGAGCACTCACTTTAAGAGAGTGCTCCTAATCTCAGCTCGTTACCTGTATAAAAGATCTGGGAGCCAGAAATCTCTCTGATTGATAGGGAATCAAATACTTATTTCACTCATTGACATGCAAATCAATTTATAACTTTTTTTTTTTTACATACGTTTTTCTGAATTGTTTTTGGTTATTCTGTCTTTCACTGTTAAAATACACCTACCATTAAAATTATAGACTGGCTGGGCGGAGCTAGCCACAGAATGAAGCAGTTGCACATGCCGGGAGCTCCCGAGAGAGAAAAGCAATATTGAGCATAATTGCACTAATTCTTCCCTATACTCACCCAAACACCCTCCCGACCATATGGGAAAGAAAACCAAAATCCGTCAACTTGATGCAGCCGCCTGCTCAAAAGATATCGGAGTCTTATTGTGGCGAAACCAACCTCGCCACTGTGCACTGGAGAAGCCTGGTTGCCAGCCTCCTGCCATCTGACTATGGCCCCCTTTTAAAAGACTTTATTTTTGCCTGCAGAAAAGCTGTATTCGTGCTTTTCTGCCTGGGGTTCAGTAGATGTGTTTGAATGTGTTATACCCCAGATAGGAATCCCATGGAGCCCATTTGTATGAAACTGACTGTAAAGACTTTGGCTCCATGGCGATTAAACTGTATTCGTGTGGTCTGAGTGCCATTCACTTAATAATGTGCGCTCAGACCTGAGCTATCTGGGGATATGTGAAACGTCTGTGTTTTATGTATAAAAGGTGACTTTATGTATTTTAAAGTGTTTTGTGTCTTTTTGCAACCATGTGCTTAATGGAGTCTTGTGTCTGTCCTGGGAGATAATTGAATTACTTATCTCCAGGATAGAAGACTTTGAAACTGGTTTGGGCCGGAAAGCCATGCTTCATTTAGTCACAAAGGACTTTTTACTAACTTTTGAACCCCTTGTCTGATTTGTGCCATTTTTTAATATGTTGTTCCCCTGAATGGATTGATTGTGAATGTGTAATTTTATGTGAATGTGATGTATGGTTTTAGAGTTATGAAAGTTGGGTAGAAAGTATGTTTTAACTTTATGTATAATTGAGTTTCCTCTCAGGATAAGGGGAGGGAATATGTGGGATGTAACTGTGATGTTATTGGTTGTTTTATACCTCCCTGTGGGCGGTCCTGTATTTGAAAACACTGTAATAAAAACCAGGCTGGGTGTGCCAGCACCTCAGATTCTGCTTAACCCTCAAAACGAAGTGTCGTCTCGTTATTGGGGGAATTGGATTGTGTGCTGACTGCCAGGAGTGTAAGCCGTTTGTATTGCTTTTCCTGTTCGGCTGCTTCCAGGGTTCCTGTGTCTGCTGTTCGAGAGTTGGTGAATACGTGCAGTTTGGAGTTCAGGAGGTTGGTGATTGCAGTAGCTGCTGGTCTATGGGAAAGGGGATTATCGCCTAAACCGATTTTATCCCCTTGTGAGAGAAACGGTCCGTTACAATTGGTGGCAGCGGTGGGATCGTTCCTACAACCAGAAGGACAGCTACAAGACAACACCAGTGCCTGGATTACAATTGAGGGCAACGTTAGTACCCGTACAGCGACCCTATCTACAAAGGAACCAACTTCGGCAGAGCAAACATGGAGCCCAGCTACACTCAGGAGGAGTTTGACCGAGAGCTTAAATTGCGGCTGGCTCTCGTTACATTTGTCCCCTCTGAGGAATTCGTGCAGCGCGTGAGGGGACATGTAGCAGAGTACCTGCAGGTCGTGGCAGATCGCGCCAAAGGTGTCGTCCTTCCTCCCCAGCGGCAGTGTGTATCCCAGGGAGCCAAAGGTGTCGTCCTTCCTCCCCAGCGGCAGAGTAAGTCCCAGGGAGCCAAAGGTGTCGTCCTTCCTCCCCAGCGGCAGTGTGTATCCCAGGGAGCTGAAGGTGCAGTCCTTCCTCCCCAGCAGCAGTGTGAGTCCCAGGGAGCCAAAGGTGTCGTCCTTCCTCCCCAGCGGCAGTGTGTGTCCCAGGGAGCTGAAGGTGTGTCCTTCCTCCCCAGCGGCAGTGTGTATCCCAGGGAGCTGAAGGTGCCGTCCTTCCTCCCCAGCGGCAGTGTGTACCCCAGGGAGCTGAAGGTGTCGTCCTTCCTCCCCAGCGGCAGTGTGTACCCCAGGGAGCAGAAGGTGTCGTCCTTCCTCCCCAGCGGCAGTGTGTATCCCAGGGAGCCAAAGGTGTCGTCCTTCCTCCCCAGCGGCAGTGTGTACCCCAGGGAGCTGAAGGTGCCGTCCTTCCTCCCCAGCGGCAGTGTGTATCCCAGGGAGCTGAAGGTGCCGTCCTTCCTCCCCAGCGGCAGTGTGTATCCCAGGGAGCTGAAGGTGCAATCCTTCCTCCCCAGCGGCAGTGTGTACCCCAGGGAGCTGAAGGTGCAATCCTTCCTCCCCAGCGGCAGTGTGTACCCCAGGGAGCTGAAGGTGTCGTCCTCCCTCCCCAGCGGCAGTGTGTTCTGCAGGAAGCGGAGACAGTCGGTCTCGCTCCCCAGCAGCAGGACAATATATTAAAAGGGGAGACAGTTGGTCCCCCCCTCCAACAGCAGAGAGTATTCCAGGGAGAGGAACCAGTTATTACCTCTCCCCAGCAACAGGACAAATTATTGAAAGTGGAGACAGTCGGTCTCCCCCTTCAACAGCAGAGAGAGTGTCAGGGAGAGGAGCTTGTTATCCCCTCTCCCCAGCGGCTGAAAGTATGTATGGGAGAGGAGCTTGTTACCCCCTCTCCCCAGCGGCAGCTTAGCCCACCAAGGGGAGACAGTAATCTCCACAACAGTGCAGAGGGGACAGTGGTCTCTGCACATGCACCACCGGGGGTAGGAACAGTCGGTCCTGTCCCCCAGCAGCAGGACTGTTTAGGCAAAGGGGAGACAGTCTGTCCCCCCCTCCAGCAACCAGGCTCCAACCAGACTACTCCCGTGGTAGTGCTGGCACCAGGACAGAGTACCGCTGGTCTCTGCCCACTCAGCAACCCACCCAGTACGCTGACCAGTCACCCACACAGCCATGGTGAGGCACCTGGACACGGACAAAGTTCTCCTCTACCCAGGTGTAGTAGCCAGTTATTGTGGGTGGGCTGTATTACTGATTGTGTTTTGTGGGTGGGCTGCTGGACTAACAAGGGCACTGACCGGCAGGAGGTCAGATACCCTGTTAGTCTGATTGGTAAAGGGGAGAAGTGTGGCGAAACCAACCTCGCCACTGTGCACTGGAGAAGCCTGGTTGCCAGCCTCCTGCCATCTGACTATGGCCCCCTTTTAAAAGACTTTATTTTTGCCTGCAGAAAAGCTGTATTCGTGCTTTTCTGCCTGGGGTTCGGTAGATGTGTTTGAATGTGTTATACCCCAGATAGGAATCCCATGGAGCCCATTTGTATGAAACTGACTGTAAAGACTTTGGCTCCATGGCGATTAAACTGTATTCGTGTGGTCTGAGTGCCATTCACTTAATAATGTGCGCTCAGACCTGAGCTATCTGGGGATATGTGAAACGTCTGTGTTTTATGTATAAAAGGTGACTTTATGTATTTTAAAGTGTTTTGTGTCTTTTTGCAACCATGTGCTTAATGGAGTCTTGTGTCTGTCCTGGGAGATAATTGAATTACTTATCTCCAGGATAGAAGACTCTGAAACTGGTTTGGGCCGGAAAGCCATGCTTCATTTAGTAACTTTTGAACCCCTTGTCTGATTTGTGCCATTTTTTAATATGTTGTTCCCCTGAATGGATTGATTGTGAATGTGTAATTTTATGTGAATGTGATGTATGGTTTTAGAGTTATGAAAGTTGGGTAGAAAGTATGTTTTAACTGTATGTATAATTGAGTTTCCTCTCAGGATAAGGGGAGGGAATATGTGGGATGTAACTGTGATGTTATTGGTTGTTTTATACCTCCCTGTGGGCGGTCCTGTATTTGAAAACACTGTAATAAAAACCAGGCTGGGTGTGCCAGCACCTCAGATTCTGCTTAACCCTCAAAACGAAGTGTCGTCTCGTTATTGGGGGAATTGGATTGTGTGCTGACTGCCAGGAGTGTAAGCCGTTTGTATTGCTTTTCCTGTTCGGCTGCTTCCAGGGTTCCTGTGTCTGCTGTTCGAGAGTTGGTGAATACGTGCAGTTTGGAGTTCAGGAGGTTGGTGATTGCAGTAGCTGCTGGTCTATGGGAAAGGGGATTATCGCCTAAACCGATTTTATCCCCTTGTGAGAGAAACGGTCCGTTACACTTATTCTGAGTCACACCGCAGCAACGGCCTACCAAAATGGCGCCCACGCGAGAGGATTCAGACCTTGCCTCAGAGGAAGGCGATCTGGATGGCTCTCCTGAATGTAGGGAGCATTCTGAGAGCCCTCTTTCCACAAATGCTGACCCCACTGATAAGCGGGCAAGCCCGGAAACTCGTCTGGAGCACATATTTGGCAGTAAAGCGGACATAAAGAACATGCTGTCGGAGCTGAACGCATATTTCTCAGCCGACATCATGCTGGTCCGAGAAGACCTGGGGGTCATGACATCTTGACTGCGTCTGTTAGGGGAAGAAAATGCCAAAACAAAAGGCCAGCAGGAAGACTAGAAAGTGGAGGTGGAAAAACTGAAGCAAGCTAACCTTGTTATGGAGAGCATACTGGCCGGGCTGGAAGACACAACGAAGAGACAACGAAATCTGCAAGTCTGCAGAATCTCTGAAGCCATAGTGGATGACGAGGTACCTCATTATCATCGCAAATTATTGAGCTCTATGCTATCTTCATCAAAGGCCAAACATATGCCACTGGACTATCACTTTAGGGTTCCTCAGTCACCTAAGGGACTTGCTGCTTTGGTTCCAGTCACTTCAGAGCAAGCAGCTCATACAGGCTGCGACTAATAATGCACATACCTACAAGTTTTAAGGTTCAGACCTTTCCTTCTTCAGTGACCTATCCATGGCCACCATTCTTTGGAGACACACACTACAACTTGTGACCAAGCTGCTGCGCGATAAGGAAGTTAGGTACCATTGGGGACAGGGATGAAAACTAATAGTGCTCCATGCTGACAAGCGTTTCAAACTTACCCACATCTCGGAGGCAGAACAGCTCTTCAGAGAGATGGACTTAACCATCCCGGAGAACATCCTGCGACCTATGTTGGCTGAATCACAACCACCCTCTACTTCAGTGTGGAACGTTAATGCTACCCAATCCTTTTACCCCAAATCACGGGGGGGAGCTGCAGCACAACCAGCTCCTGGCACTTGAGGAACTCTGGAAGAGACGGCGATCATCGCTATTGAAGCTACTTCATATAATGCCTTATGTTCCGGTTTTGTTTGTTTACCTACCATATATGCTGATAACTTTGTGTTTAGATAAGTGTCACTAACGACCTGCACTAAGCAACTTTACTTTATTAGCCACAGATCAGGCTGTTTTCTGTTTGTAATTTAACCGTGATATACTCTCTCACATCCCCGGATGCAGAGTCTCGACTAACAGTGTCTACCATACTGCCTTCTATACAGTGCTGTGAGCCTTGTCAGCAGGTAGCACGGTCCTCTAGGGCAAAAACATGCACAGTCCTTGTAATTGCATATAATCCAGTCACTTTATTTGCAAATCCACACAGGATACAGCAGTAAATTAAAACATAAATGTAACACAAAACCCTATAAACAAAAACCTAGCTCGGTCTGAGCACTAACTCACTTTGAACATCCCTCTCTATCAGGGTTAAACTATCAAAACATATGGCACCAACCTTATTAGTTAGCAACACTCTGCTGGCTAGCCTGTTGAGTTCCTTTCCGCACTCCTAGTGCTCCAAGCCAGCCTTGCCCTGACTGCTTTCCTTTCTGCACTCCCAGTGCTCCAAGCCAGCCTTACCCTGACTGCTTTGCTTTCCGCACTCCCAGTGCCTCCAAGCCAGCCTTGACTGCTTCCTTCTGCACTCCCAGTGCTCCAAGCCAGCCTTGACTGCTTCCTTTCTGCACTCCCAGTGCCTAGTCTCCTTGACTCTATCTGGAGAGATCAGCCTCTCTCCTACCTGCTTCCTGGGAGGAAGCCAGCAATCCCTCTCCTTTACCTGTCTAGCAGGGAGGAGTTTATTCCCACTGCAACAGCTCATTAACTGCAGCTGAGCAGTGGGTTGGAGACGATCCAAAAAACCCTGGCCTGGATCCATGTCTCCCCAGAAAACCACTAAACTGTGGAGTGGAGCATTGGCCCACCCTTCTCTCCAAATGCTCCACCCCAGGGGCCCATAACTAAACAGTGTTTTGTGTTGTCTACAACACATCCTACACATACTCCCACTGGGGTTAAATGTTATAGGCCTATCTGCCTTCACTTTATCACAGTGCATATAACATCAGCTACAGTTAGCCATACAAGCCTAAAATACCTCTGTTGAATGACATGCATTTGCTGTATTGGTTTATGTTTCCCTATGCATGCACTTAAAATGTAGCTCACTAAGCGCTTACAAGTGTGTACGATAATGAAATGCTACAATAAAAAATATTTTTATATTTTTCCATCACTGTATATAAATCAGAAAGCCCAAATGAAAATCCTTTGAATGGTTTGAAGTGCCACTCAATAATTAAGTTATCTTTTTAGATAGATCTTTTTCACATGCTGTATATTTTTTTACACGCAATTTGGGTGTCGATTGGTTATATAGTCTTTTTGTGGTCACAAGACTTTTATGGTTGCTGCATAATTACAGTGGTGCTTTAAGATTGTTTGCACTTTACTTCTGTGCAAATATCCACATTATATTTTGCAATGTAAGTTATTTTGCAGATGTATTACATTTTTCAACTTAATGAGTAATTTCTGGTTTTGGTCAACAACCGAAAACAAGCGCATTAGACCATCTACATAGGAAAGCATTGCTGACGCTGGATGTCCTCATGTGGAGCTTGAAGACGTCAGGCATCAGGTGACCAAAGTCGCCTAACCACCAGGAAGTGCTTCTAGTAACTGTCTGATTGACAACCAATAGCAGCGGTCTTAACCCTGCAATGTAATAATTAACATTGCTGGGTTAAGAGGACAGGGACCCTGCACTCACATCACTTCACTAAGATGAAGTGGTCTGGGTGCCTATTGTGTCCCTTAAGGCTTGGTTATATTCAGTTACACAAGATGTTCAGATTCACATTAGGTCAGGTTTGGCCAAAAGGTAGACTCCCAAGCTGTAGTAGAACTCCAACAATGATTTCCAACTTAAAAGGGTCAGACCCAGATGTAGTGGATATGTTGCCATTAGGCTCATCTCTTGCTGATGTGAAAGTACCATTTCCATCTTAGCATTAATAATTTCATCCATACTAGCACCATAACCATTACACTGGGATGTAGTGGTTATGGAGCACAGAATACATGTTTAAGCTGAACAGCAGCTGGTTTCTACTCTGAAACTGAACCGGTTTGCAGTTGGCTGAGTTTCCATAGGGTGAGGTGGGTGAAAGTGCTAGTCTCTGCCTTCCTGGAACCTTTTGCCTATCTGAGCTAAACCGGCTTTACACTCTGCTGACCGTTGAATTGTATTTATTTATTTTACCTAGAAGAAATATTAAACATACTTTCACCGTTTCTAGATATGGCTAAAGAGGGATACATTGATTACATTCCCCTCCATTAATAGCATTGAGTGGAATGAAGGGGATTAAACTGTAGGCAAAAAATATAAAAAATGTGAATATAACATTCATGCTCCTGTCATGGATAAATTACATTTATGTGAATATTTCCCTCCATTTACTAGCCAAAATCCCTGTTGGATTAAAGGAACACTCCAACCACTATAACTACAGCAGCGTAGTTTTGGTGCCAGATGTGCCCTGGTGCCCTCATTGTAAGCAGTCAGACTGTATGTTTATTAACAGTTTGACCTCTTACCTGGTATCTGCCGGGTGATGTGTCTCTGAAAATGCTAGGGATGTCAGTATTTCACCCGAGGGTATGAGGGTTTAGAGGGGGAGGAGTAATTCTGATTAGTGATTCTATTTTAAATGAATAGACCCCCCCCAGGAAAGACTGATCCATCACTAAATTTGTCAGCAGTTTTATGTGGAAACATAAATATAATTTTAAAACCAGCAGCACTTGAAACCTGCCAACACTGAATGTAGTAATCGGAAGGTAAACATAAACTACCGGTAGTATTTTGTTAAAACTCACATTTTATTTTTGTGGTCGACTTAAAATCAAGAGGAAACATTCTCAGGGGTATGCGTTAGATGTGTGCCAGCCTAGGAACATATAATCTGATTCGAGTTGAGAAGTCAAGTTTCTAATTCAAGTTACCAGTTACAAATCAATTGCAACAAACACAGAGAATTTGAGAAATCTGCAAAAGCTTATAGAAACTCAGTAGCGTGCCCTTTGATTAGTCCCGCTCAGGTCTCAAAAATGTTTTTCCATTCTTGACTGCCCTTATGGAAATGCTGGTAATTTCTCTCTGGACGAGAGATACAGCAACCCTGGACAATCGTTTCGAACCTTCTTTGGGCCAACGAGGTGTAGCTAATTCCCCTCTAGGCACAATGAGCTTGGGGTCCAGGTATGGATTATCCTTTTAGCTTAGGGAGAGCCATTTAATTGCAGTTTCAATTGGCCATGTAGTATGATTTTTACATGATCCTACCCAAAGAAGCTTCTTTAATGGCAGTATTTATAAAACTATTCAAGAACTGTCTCTTTCAATAAACTAAAAAGTAGTAAAAAAACAAAAACAAATATTTAGTATGGCTTAGGGGTTAAGAACCATTGACCTACAGGATTTCCTCCTTTCTGTTGATGCTCTTCCATCTCTTCTTCATTATCTGTTTCATCCATGATGATTTTTTTGGTATAAAGCCAACATGCTCTCTCTATTATAGTCATCCTGTTGTCTGCCATGCTCAACTATTGCATGTAGATGGGAAGTGTTATGCCTTACTGCTTCTTGTCTTTGGACCACCCTACTATAATCTACACCAAACCTTAAAGGACCACTCTAGGCACCCAGACCACTTCAGCTTAATGAAGTGGTCTGGGTGCCAGGTCCTTCTAGGGTTAACCCATTTTTTTTTTATAAACATAGCAGTTTCAGAGAAACTGCTATGTTTATGAATGGGTTAAGCCTTCCCCCTAATCCTCTAGTGGCTGTCTCATTGACAGCCACTAGAGGCGCTTGCGTGCTTCTCACTGTGATTTTCACAGTGAGAGCACGCAAGCGTCCATAGGAAAGCATTGTAAATGCTTTCCTATGCGACGGGCTGAATGCGCGCGCAGCTCTTGCCGCGCGTGCGCATTCAGCCCAGGAGGAGGAGCGGAGGAGGAGAGAAGGAGGAGAGCACCCCGCCCGGTGCTGGAAAAAGGTAAGTTTTTAACCCTTTCCCCCTTCCAGAGCCGGGCGGGAGGGGGTCCCTGAGGGTGGGGGCACCCTCAGGGCACTATAGTGCCAGGAAAACGTGTATGTTTTCCTGGCACTATAGTGGCCCTTTAATGACACATTTAAACTATATGGAAGTAATAATTCATACACTTT